ATTGTTCTTCTTGGTTTTGTCCGGGTTGTCCTTCGGTCTAGAGGTTAATTTCCTCAGAGTGGCCGTCGCTTTGTGGGCCACGAAGATTTTTTTGAGCCAATAATCTGATCGCGGGTTCTGATATATTCTTGATGTAAGGCAGGACTACCCGTCTGGTGGCTTGTTCTTGCTGTTGCCTTTGTTGAGGTGTCTTCTTCCTCAAGCTTCTCTTGATAAAATTCCTTGGATATCCATTGTTCTGAAATACTCTGAATAGACGTTCAAGTGAACAGAAAGATGGATTGGACTCTGGAAACCTGCGTATACCGGAAGGAGACTCATACAGGTCGAATACTGAACTACAACAGCAATCATCCAGTAAACCACAAGAAGAGCTGCGTCCAAACCTTGTTCAAGAGGGCGGAGACACACTGCAGCACCACAGAACTGCGGAAGAAGGAAGAAAGTCATCTATTGTTTTCCTTGATAACAGAGCATTTCATTTTTTTTCTGAGTGAAATTGTTGCCTTTATATGGAACTGAAGAATTAAATTCTTCCAGTGAGCTTCAGTAGCTTGTTTTCTGGTGTTCAGACGGTTCTTTAGGTGAACCATTCTTAGATGAAGATGCATATGGACGGAGCTACTCTCAATTGCCATCAGAAATTCGTGCATCCCTCCCGTTGATCGTAATTCAAGCTTCCTCTGTCTTATCCGTTAGTTTCTGACCTTTTGTCTCACGCTATGGCTCAAATTGGTTTATCGTGCCCTAGGTCGCACGAGGGGAAGGGGAGAGAAGGATCAGGATGAACTGGTTGCCCCCACTTCGGACCATCGGTCATCTGACTAACGCTTATTGATCGACTGTTTAATGTCATACACTGGGCCAATCCTTTCACTGCGACACATTGCTCCTACCGTGCCATAGCAATGAGTTTTCTTGCTTTTGACAAAATTGTAGTGAACACGGATCTGTATAGCCTAGAAAGTGGCTACTTGGTTCACATTACACTTCATGCAGCCAACTTGTGTCGAACCCTGGTTCGCATCGTGCATCGTATTCCTGAGCCGATCGGTTTTTTACCATCACCAATCACCATGGTTGTAATGGCTGTCAATTCCTAGATTGTTTACGAATATGGTTAGCTATAGTAGCAAACAGCTGTTTGCATTTGCGTTGCGCAACCTTTCGGTCAGCGCGCCAAATACCTGATCAGTGGGATTGTGACTGCGAGTAGCCGTGTAACCTATTATTTAGGCTCAGAATCAAAGCGCATCCACGGTTTAGTTACAACTGGTCATACAAAAACCGGAGTGTGCGCGTGTGTGTGTGCACGCATATGAACACCTCCATCGATCTGAATCAGACAGGTTACAGGACCTGATTTCTTGCTGCCGGTTGCATCGGGCATGCTGAATCTAAACTACGATTGCGTCGAGATAGAAAATCTACGTTTCCGTTAGGAGGGGCTGTT